AGAGCTGTTGTGCCTATAGTGCATACTCGGAGTAGATAAAGAGAGGCCTTATTCTAAGGCGCCCATTCTACTTGACCTTCGTTGAGCCTTTTCATTCGCTCGCTCAACTCGAACTGTCTTTAGGACACACTCGCTCTCAGCTCAATGCAGTGTAGGTTGCCGATCTTTAAGGGGGGGGAATACCCCCCAAACACCCCTGCTCTTTCCCCTTCTTTTTTATTTTTTACGCATAAAAAAAGCCCCACGCCTCTCAAAAAAAATCACCGGCATCAAAGTTGGTGCGCATTCATTAATTGCCCCTTTGAATCGATATCAGAGAGCCACAACAAGAGCGTGAAAGGGAAAAGGAGGCTTTAATGAAGCATAGAGCGGGCCATTCATTTGCAGATAACTATGTTTTCATGCTCGGATAGTCATCATGCATGAGCTTATTAGAGAAAAAAAAAACCCCACGAGAGGGAGGAGTGCAGACGGAAAGTGAGACAGCCCCGGGGTAGAGGAGAGTGATTTGGGGCTAGCTACTTGGCCTCTCGTAACCCCCCTTTTGCCCTCGTGCCCACAGACTCACTGAGTGACACATTCATTCTTTCAGCGGACAGACAGAGGGCCCTCTTCACGAGACCTTCAACTCCGGCCACTTATAGCCAATAGCTATTAAAGGATCCATCGGGGTCTCACTGCCGCCGCCTCTTTCAGACAAAAAAACAGAAACTTTCAAACATCTGAGGAGTCCGAATTTCAACGGCCGTTCAACAACACTTTCAGTTACACCAACGGTCAGTCTATGAAATAGGAAAGAGCACGATTAAAAGCGATATCAAAGCTTAGAGGGTGTTAGCAAACGTATTGAGTACCAAAAAGTTCGACATTCTCACATAAGGGAAACTAAAACAGAGACTTTTCTCTGAGCTTTGCCTCTAGTTCTGCTTCTTTCTTCTCATGATCCTCTGTTTCTTCCTCTGCTCTCCTCCCCTCTGCCATGGCACCCATCCAGAGCGTGCCCCCTTCTTCCATTTGCAGCAGGTCATCCTTCACCCCTCGTGGAAGAGGGAACCAAAGTTCTCTCACTCACTCACATTATTTACACAAACAAAGTCCTCCTCTGTTTCTGTGACAAAGCTCGCTAAATCTTTCTGGCCCTTTCATGTATTGTCTGCTCGTGGTTTCCTTTTGTCCCTCCGCCACCGGCCTGGGCCGTGATACAATAAGCCGGGCAGAATGGAGGCAGATTGAAGGAATGCGCCTCAATAAACCTAATTATGACATGATGACTGCACTCACCATGGTAGGGGTTTTTCAAAGATCCCGGGCTTATTCAATTAGCCTTTTCCAGGATCCTCTTTCACCAAAATAAAGTTATCCCTTTGACTGTTTGCATTGCAGAATGTGCGTGTGTGTGTGTGTGGATGTGGTGGTGTGTGTGTGTGTATGTGTGTGTGTGTGTGTGTGTGTGTGCGCAAATGGCTGGCCTATATGGAAATGCATTGGCCCTCAACAAGGCTTCTCTGTATTATCTGGCTAATTTCACTTTACCATGTATGGAGTGAAAAAAATACACCGAGGACGTGTAAACCAGGAAAAGGGGAGAGAGGGCTGTGTGTTTTAATCATTAACTTTGTCTCCGGGGTTAATTACCATGATGTAGACATTTGGTTGCAGCTGTCAAATTAATACGAAGATTAAATAAAAATGTTACATTTCAGGATTTCAAGAGGAATCTAAAAAAACAGTCTGTGGGTCAATTATATTCGATCATGTTAGAGTAGGCCCAGAAAAGTGGGAAATACAAAAATAGAATGGAAAAAATAGAATGGAAAAAGAAAAAAAGTGAGACAACACCTGCAGTTTGTACTTTGAGTTGTAGATATTTTTTGCCATATTATAGATTTATATATATGGGTTTTTTTTGTATTCCAATATATATACGCACATAAATAGTTTCATTATTTCACAGAAAAGGAGTGTTATGATCAGCCAGCTGCAGATGTTTATATGAATGATGACCTCGCAAACAGTGAACACAGACTTTAATAAAGTTACTTTGGCCTGACTCGGGAATGGAACGCGTTTTTGCGCCTCAGGCTGCGCCACAGACTGAACCAGAGGGCCGGGGCGGCGTCAAGCCTCTGATGAAAGCCAGGGGGGGGGGGGGGAATAAAAGACTCAATTTAATCTCCTTTAAGAGATTTAGAGAGCAAGTGGGAGTAGAGCGGTCGAGGCAGGGGGCGAGTGTTCCCTGGGAGCGCGCACAGCGCCGGGACGGGTGGAGCTTTTGTGGAGCATGCGCTCCGGGCCA